GTTAAAATAGATTATAAATTACTTTACTCTACAAATTAATTTCCTTACAAAATTTAATTTTTTCAAAAATTTAAATTAATCTTATAACTAGATTTAGACAAGGAGATCAATTTCATGTTCTTTTCCACAAACATATCCAAGCTATAATTGTTGCAAGATTGATGTCTTATTAATTTTTATTTTCTTTTTCAATATGTTTAAATTTGTTATTAGTGAAGTTTTCCTTTTAGATTATTGATATTGGAAAGACACAAAAGATAAAAAAGGAGAAAAGTACAAAGTGTGCACAAATAAAAAAAAATTACACAATGATTCATAAAGCAAAAGGAGGCACAAAATAGCCCAAATAAAAAAGATGCATAAAGTGTGCCATAAATATTTGAAAAGATGTGTAATATCGACAATTAAAATTTTTATTGTGTTCTTTCCTTTATTATTCAATCTCTAATTCAAATATCTAATTGACAATCATATATATTATTGAATTTGAAGTTAACTAATCTTTATTTCATCATTTTCACAATAATCTTTTTTATTTAATTTGTCTAAAATGAACATTGAACCTCGTTGACTTTTTTTATCTTAGTTCTTCTTTGATTTAAAATTTTGAAATTTTACTTTTTAGTATTTCAAAATTAATATTGTATTTATGATTTGTTTAAAATCCTTTTCCCTTTTAACTCTTTTGGTTTATCTGTAGAAACCTCTCATTTCAAGATATATGGTATCAAACTTCCCTTTTTGTTGTTGTCAAAGAGGGAGTCAAAATATTATTTGATGTTTAATGTTTTGCATATATGTATGTGTATGTGTAGTATGTGTATGTTTTATTTTTCATTTTGCATGTATGTATGTATATGTGTATGTTTTGAATGTTTTGCATGTATTTATGTTTTTGAATGTTGAATGTTCAAACATTTTTGTGATTTTTGTTCGAGTTTCTATTTTTGTTTTAGGTTTGTTGTTTTTTATCTTCTTGGGAATGCTTTATTATTTAATTTTAGGGGGAGCTAAGGAGAAAATTATTTTGAATTGTAACTCATATAATAATTGTTTTGTCATTATCAAAAAGGGGGAAATGATTGCAACTTAGTTTTCATAATTATATTTTCATATCATCTGTGTTTTTATGATTCTAAAATATTATTATATTGAGTATTGTTTCTCCTAACATATATAGGAAATATTACTTTTATTGTTTGTGTGTACTAACATTTCAAGAAAATCATACTCTAAACAGTTCAAGACTTCTAGTTAGATTAGATTAGGGTTTACTACTTTTAAAGTCTATAATTTTTATACATTTCTTGAGTCTAAGAGAGTGTAATTGTAATTGGGTAATTGTGCACAGACACATTGGAGGAGTGTAAAAATTTGTAAATTTTTAAAACTAATCATATTGTATGATGTTGTATCATACGGGATGATTTGACTTGAGCGTACCTCCCAAAAGAAGTTAATCAAACTATGCTAGGAAAATTTTCTAAGTCATATTCGTACTGTACAAAGTTAGCTTCATATGTACGCCTTCCAGAGTACAAAATAGGTACGTACAAGTTTGTCTCGATAAACTTTTGATTTTTTTTAACTGATTATACTATACAATCATAGGTTCGAACAGACAACGTCCAAAGTATGAAATGAATGTGCATTTTTTTGTCTAGACGAACAGGTAAATTTTTTGAATTATTTATACTGTACGATCATAGGATCGTACAGATGACTTCCAAAGTACGAAATGGTTGAGGCCAATTTTATACCAAATGAAATATGGTTTGACTAAAATAAATCATATTATACGATATGGATTTTGTACAGTACATTATGCACAGTACAAAATCATTTTGTGAACAATCGTATTGAATGAATCTATTAAATTTTGAACTGATCATACAATACAATGTCAGTTTGTACCCAGGTCAATCAAAGTATGAAATTAGTTCCTATTACATCGTACGAGCAAATTTTGAACTATTCATACATACGATCATCGATCGTACTGTATTACCATGGACAGTCAAAATGAAAATTTTTAGTTTTCTGGACAGTTTTTGTGTCTTTCATATAGAAGGTCCTATAAATGGACTGTGGATGACATCCTTCTTCATTTTATCAATGAGAGCAAGTTTGAGAGTGATTTGGGAGAGTGTTTGAGAGAGAGTTATTACAAGTAGAGTGTGAAGGGTTCACAAGGTTGCCCAACGGTCAAAATCTCTAAGTGTTCCAAATCTCTTCCTCACTTCTTTGAAGATGCTCAAGAGAAGATATTTAAAGAAGATCTGGTTTTCTACCGACACCAGGAAGGTGTGAAAGGATGTTGGTTCTTTACGGACACCAGGACGGTGTGAAAGGATACTATATCTATTCTGACACCATGAGGGTATGAAAGGATGCCAATTTTTTGTCGACACCAGAAGGGTGTGAAAGGATGTTGGTTCTCTACAAACACCAGGATGGTGTGAAAGGATGTCGATTCTCTACCAATACTTGAAGAGTGTGAAAGGACGACGGTACTCTATCGATACTTGGAGGGAGTGAAAGGACGGCGGTACTCTATCGTATTATGGATTGGTGGAAGAGAGTGTAATTATAAAGGCTTCTCTGTCTTACTATGGAGCAAAAGGAGAGTCGCTTTAGCAATAGTGTAATACCTAAAGAGAGAGTTTTTATGGAGTAGATGTAGATCTAGTTGGACAGAACCACTATAAATTTATGTGTTCTTATTTTTTTGCATTTTTTATTTTTCTACACATTTTAATTTTATTGTGGTTGAAAAGTTTTTTAGTTTATTAAAGCTTTTAAATTGTGAAAAGTACTTATAAAACGGTTTTCTATTCAAGAGGATTTTTAAATTATAAATTTACCCCCCCCTTTCCAATTCACCCCCCCCCCCCTCTTTGTTAGCATTGGGAATATTGCGTTAGGTCCAACCTAAACGGACTTTAAGTTGCATCAAAATCTTTGTAGTTTAAAACCTTTTAACTCGCCAAAAAAAATTTTAAAATTGTTGACAAGTAGCCAAACCCAAAAATTTTAAAAAAGACCAGCAGCATATGAGCTCATAACTCAAATAAACAATTAGATGAGATCAAACACTCAAAGCCATGTAGTCACAAGCAAGGCTACGCATAAAGAAAATTTAATAAACCATTTTAAGATAAATATAAAATATAATATGCAAGTAACACATATATAAGGATTAACCATCTGCCACCTAACAACTTATCCTTAGAACCAACAAAAAGGCAAGAATCTATAATTAAAGCACATATCATCAAAATAATTGGAGAAACCTACAAAAAATTAAAGAAAGACAAAACAAAGAGGACCTCCCAGCCACACTCCAACGCCTAGAACCCATAATTTATCATAGCTCTAAAAATACCCTCCACAACGACCAAGACAACAAATCTTAAAATAAAAACCAACCAAAGCTAATCAAACAAAGCTCAGGCCCAACGAAATGGGAAGAATAATCAAAACCTACAAATCCTAGAGTCATTATCTTAAAAAAAAAGACCACCTACCAAAGAAAAAATCCAACCTGAGAACAAAAAAAGGAAAAAGGGCCCAACCACGCTGAACAAGCAGAAATAACGCGATAAACCATCTCCACTAGCCACCTCCATATTGACCAAACATCAAACAAACATAAAGAAACCACCCTGGATAGCAAAGCCAAAACTCAAAGAGAAAACATAACAAACCTCCATCAGATAAACATGCAATATAATATGCAAGTAATACAATCATAAGGATGAACCATGTTCCACCTACCAATTTATCCTTGGAACCAACACAATGGCCATAATCTACAATTAAGAACTTATCAAAACAACTGGAGAAACTCACAAACAAAGTCAAAGAAAGACTAACCAAAGAGGACCACATAGCTAAAAGGCCAAGAATCAATAATTTATCATAGCACCAAAAAAACCCTCCATAGTAGTTAAGACCACAAATCTTAAGGCAAAAACCAACCAAAGCTGAACCAAACAAAGCCCAGTCTTAACCACTAAGGGAGAACAATATAAAATAATAAATCCTGAAGGAAATATCATTAAAAACCACCACCTGCAAAAGCAAAACCCTAACAAGTGAACATCAAAAGGCAAAAGGGCCCAACCTAATTGAACAAGCAAAAACTACGAAAAAAATAACCTCCACTAGCCACCTCTTATTGGCCCAACATCAAACAAACATAAAGCAACCATCCAAGATAAGGAACCTCACTATCCAAAAAACTGCCCCTAAAACCCCCTAGCAGAAATCAAATCAAGAACCCCACACCAAAACCCAAGATAAATAGAAAGTGATAAAAAAACTAGTAAATAGCCATGAAGAGGAATAGCAGTGAGAAAGTAGCCAAAATAATATATAAACTTGCAACCAAAACCAAATTCAACACTATAAACCAAACCAAATACAACATGATTAAAAATTTCACCAAAACAATCACCAACAAGCAAAACCTTACTCCCAACAATCATAAGGAGACAACTTTAAAATAGATAGTCATGGACCATAAGGATGCAACTAGCAAATCCAACCAACACTACAAGAGCAAACCCAACAACAAATCTAATTAATTGAAAACCAAAGAAAATCCAAGACCCAAGCCATTTTCTAAGATTCCGAACCCATCAAACAAACACATAAGTAATTTATGACCCGAACAAGTCTCAAAAAAAAAAAAAAACCACAAATACGTAGGAGTTAGCCATTCATAAACTAGCACTGAAAACCCGAAAGAACCACAACTTCCTTTATAGCCAATACCTTCAACACAGGCACAATCCATTTCTCAAAAAATATCAAATAGAAGAAATGAAACCAGCCAACGCACATCATAAAATAATGTAAAATGAAATTATCCTTACTGGCAAGGATTGATTACAAGTGGTATTTTTTTGCCTTATCACTATTCCATTAATATTGTTTTTTAGACACTGAAGGAATTAAATTTCAAATTCATACTCAAAACCTACGTACAAGCTTTGAATTTAAAATTCATTAATTGATAGTCAAAACTCTCAACAAACAACAAACATATTAAGATGAACTACAACCCTCAAATATTTAACTAAAGCAGCATGGACTACAAACGGCAAAAGCACAACCTTAACAAATATTCCTTACACAAATTACAAAATAAATAGTTATTCAGCACAACCTTAACAAATATTCCTTACACAAATTACAAAATAAATAGTTATTTCAGAACATCAAGAAAACCTTATCCCTCTGCAATAGGAGAGGTTGCCCAATCCCATTCCTCTTCGACGGGAAAATCACAAACAACACGCTGATCACGAACCCCGCCACCAATGGCACCGATTTGATCACCTTCTTCGGCGCTTTCGAGTGATAACATTCTACAACATCCCTATGGGACCCAGCGAAAATCACCAAGGCTGCAACAGACATCAGCGCGTGAAACAAGTCTTGCCATTTAAGTCTATAACTCGCCGGCTCAAGAGGGCCTTTTCTTCTTGCGTTAAAGGTCCATATCCCATACAGTGTTGCCACGCCAAAGCAAGCGCGTCCGGAGGCTGTGCGGAAGCTGTCCGTAATGGCAAAGAATGCGCAGGAAGCAGCGCAGAGAAGGACGAAGGAAGCCATCAAGTAGCGGTTTAGGGAAGAGCAGTCGCCGTCGTTGGTGAGTAAGGGGGTGAAAATTGAGAAGGCGAGGATTGTGGCGGTGGGGAGGAGGACGTTGAGGCGGGCGGTGGCGCTGATGACGAGTTTAATGATTTGGAGGAGGTGGGATTCGTTGGCGCCGGGTTCGTGACTACCCTCGTCGGGATCACGGGTGACCGACGAGGTTGCAGTGGTGGGACGTGGCTTTTTTATCAGGATTTCGCAGACATCGTCCTCCATCTTTTTTTACAGTTGGGAAATGAAAGGGAGTAGTTGGTTTTGTGGAGCATCTTGAAGGCGTTTGGGGTGAGGATTCCTTGCCGCTTGGGCGGTATGTAAGGTGGTAATGAAGTCGGCCTCGTGCATTTTGCTTCTTGGTCACGGGTGAGGATTCCTTGCCGCTGCATTCTAATTTTGCTTTTCGTAAACTTCTTGTTAGGAATAGTTTTATGCGTAACTATTAAATTGTATATATTAATAAAAATAACATTTAAATAGTTTTATTTGTTATAACATCATTTACAATCTATTTTAATATTTATGACTTGTCAAGATCTTCAAAAAATTATATGAATTTATTATATTTCAAGTGTTTGGATGCTAATTTTAAACATAAGAAATACTTTTGCTAGTTGTTGACCTCCGTTTTGGAGCTAGGATAGGTCTTACATTAGGTGCTTCACCAATCTACTAGCATATCTTAATTTTAGGAAATTTTAATGCTTTCTAATGGTTAGATCCTTCCCGTCTTTCAGTCTTTGGAAGATTGCTTACTGAAGCTTAGAAGATTAATAAACCGGAATTCTGAAATCGTTAGATTATACTACACCACTGTTTATCTGAACTGGAAGAACCGGAATGAAGTTAAACATGGAAAATCTGCTTTACCATGCTCTGTAGTAGCTGCAAATGCTCTATCTATGGCCATGTTATAGTCTAGTCCATATCTAGATTGCTGGGTACTAATCTCCTTCGGGAGTCTCCAAAAGCTTGGTGCCCTCCACCGATAGATTGGATTAAGATCAATGTGGATGCTTCATTACTCAGTTCAAATACTGCTGAAATCGGAGGGGTCTTCAGGGATCACAAAGGTAGGCTTATTCTTGCATTTGGGAAGAGTAAGCTTCACTGGGATATTACTCAGTTAGAGCTGGAGGCGGTATGTACAGTGCGATACTTCATTCGGAGATGGATGCTTGAGTGCAAAGGAGTGATTATTGAGAGTGAAAACAACAACATTATTACATTCATTCAAAATTCTTTAAAGAACAAGGTTTGGCATGTGGATAGGTGGCCGGACAAGGAGCTTTACTTCTTGGATGAGTTTAATAAAGCGATCTTTCTTCATGTTCCTAGAAGTTGTAATAAAGTAGCTAATCATTGTTCTACTATGGCTTTAGATAAGAGTTTTACTTTTGATAGTTTTTCTTTTGATAACATTCCTTCCTTGTTGTTGAATTTTATCAAGGAAGAATGTTATCATACTAGCAATTGTAATTAGTTCCCTTTACTATTCTTAATGCTTTTTGGTGCATCTTTTCAAAAAAAAAAATGGTAGATCCTTGTGACTCTTGACAAGCTTAAGCGTCACTCTTTATCTAATAGGTCCTACTGAACCTAGTCTCATAAGTCACTAACTTTAATTTGTTAAACCTTAAAATCACATTTGTATAAAAAGGTATTGACCCATCCTAATTATTCAAGATCCTAGACCCACCATAATTTGGCAATGCTCAAACTCACTCTAGCCAAGTAAACCTAAGTTATCCATATATTTTAGTGATAAACTCTAGCATGTGACCTATTAAAGACTCAATTGGTCATAGTAGGAAAAAGTGAGCTAGGAGTTAACACGTCAAACTTATGTGAATTAACTAATTGTCAAATGGATAACCTTTAGATTTTATTCAAGCCTAGAGAAATCGTAAGAAAATAGTTTAGTCCATTTAACCAACTTATATCTATTGGAAACAATGGTTTTTGTATCTAACTCAAAATGAACTCAAATTTAATAAAATTTAATTAATTTAATTGTCCTTAGGCTTAAGCCTAGAAAAAAACATAAAAAGATATAGACACTTACAAGTAAAACATGAAATTGTTCATTAAAAGTAGAATTGGGCAAAATATATATAAAAAAAAAAGATAAAGGCTCTTTAAATCCTCTCTCTCTCTCTCTCTTTGAATCTTAAATTTCTATATTTCAAAATAGATAAAACCTTCCCCACTAATGATTGATTCCTAGTTCATGTATGTAGTGGAATGGTTTTACACATATTTCGAATAAATGGCTAAGTATCATTGACTTTAGGTGCTTATTAATCAAGTTACACCAAGAATAAGTCCATTTCAATCTTTGATTAGCAAATAGACTTTATATGGGATTTGGTTGGAATTTAAGGTAAAGTAGAGTTGGGAATTGGTGTATAATTGTATGGGGTAGTGGTATGGTTTTACTATAAAACATAAGAAATATTATTGCACATTGAAGTAATTGCTTGCCAAGGTAACCTATAGACCACAAAGTGACTTCTTTCTATAAAGTTTTGCCACGCCAAAGCAAGCGCGTCCGGAGGCCGTGCGGAAGCTGTCCGAAATGGCAAAGAATGCGCAGGAAGCAGCGCAGAGAAGGACGGAAGCCATCAAGTAGCGGTTTAGGGAAGAGCAGTCGCCGTCGTTGGTGAGTAAGGCAGTGAAAATTGAGAAGGCGAGGGTGGTGGCAGCGGGGAGGAGGACGTTGAGGCGGGCGGTGGCGCTGAGGATGAGGTTGATGATATAGAGGAGGGATTCATTGGCGCCGGGTTCGTGACTACCCTCGTCGGAATCACGGGTGACCGACGAGGTTGCGGCACTGGTTGCCGTCGTGGGACGTGGCTTCTTGATCAGGATTTCGCAGACATTGTCCTCCATCTTTTTTTAGAGTTGGGAAATGAAAGGGAGAAGTTGGGTTTTGTGAAGCATCTTGTATGCGTTTGGGGTGAGGATTCCTTGCCGCTGGGGCGGGAGGGCAAATGTTACGTGGTAATGAAGTAGGCCTCGTGCATTTTGCTTCTTGATCACGGGTGAGGACTCCTTGCCTCTGCATTCCAATTTTGCTTTGGTTAAACTTCTTGTTAGGAATAGTTTTATGCGTAACTATTAAATTTTATATATTAATAAAAATAACATTTAAAAAATTTTATTTGCTATAACCTCATTTATTTTGCAATACATAGATAAAGTAATCTATTTTAATTTTTATGACTTGTCAAGATCTTCAAAAAAATATATTAGTTTATTATATTTGAAGTGTTTGGATACTAATTTTAAACATAAGAAAAACTTTTGCTAGTTGTTGACCTCCGTTTTGGAGTTGGGAGAGGTCTTACATTAGGTGCGTCACCAATCTACTAGCATACCTTAATTTTAGGAAATTTTAATGCTTTCTAATGGGTAGATCCTTCCCGTCTTCCAGTCTTTGGAAGATTGCTTACTGAAGCTTAGAAGATTAATAAATCGGAATTCTGGAATCGTTAGAATAGACTGCACCACTGTTTATCTGAACTGGAAGAACCATAATGAAGTTAAACATGGTAAATCTGCTTTACCATGCTCTGTAGTAGCTGCAAATGCTCTATCTATGGCCATGTTCAAGTCTAGTCCATATCTAGATTGCTGGGGTACTAATCTCCTTCGGGAGTCTCCAAAAGCTTGGTGCCCTCCACTGATAGATTGGATTAAGATCAATGTGGATGTTTCATTACTCAGTTCAAATACTGCTGAAATCGGAGGGGTCTTCAGGGATCACAAAGGTAGGCTTATTCTTGCTTTTGGGAAGAGTAAGCTTCACTGGGATATAGCTCAGTTAGAGTTGGAGGCGGTATGTACAGTGCGATACTTCATTCGGAGATGGATGCTTGAGTGCAAAGGAGTGATTATTGAGAGTGAAAACAACAACATTATTACATTCATTCAAAATTCTTTAAAGAACAAGGTTTGGCATGTGGATAGGTGACCGGACAAGGAGCTTTACTTCTTGGATGAGTTTAATAAAGTGATCTTTCTTCATTTTCCTAGAAGTTGTAATAAAGTTGCTCATCATTGTGCTACTATGGCTTTAGATAAGAGTTTTACTTTTGATAACATTCCTTCCTTGTTGTTGAATTTTATCCAGGAGGAATGTGATCATACTAGCAATTGTAATTAGTTCCCTATACTATTCTTAATGCAATTTGGTGCATCTTTTCAAAAAAAAATAATTGGTAGATCCTTGTGACTCTTGACGAGCTTAAGCATCACTCTTTATCTAATAGGTCCTACTGAACCTAGTCTCATAAGTCACTAACTTTAATTTGTTAAACCTTAAAATCACATTTGTATAAAAAGGTATTGACCCATCCTAATTATTCAAGATCCTAGACCCACCATAATTTGGCAATGCTCAAACTCACTCTAGCCAAGTAAACCTAAGTTATCCATATATTTTAGTGATAAACTCTAGTATGTGACCTATTAAAGACTCAATAGGTCATACTAGGAAAAAAGTGAGCTAGGAGTTCACACATCAAACTTATGTGAATTAACTAATTGTCAAATGATAACCTTTAGATTTTAATCAAGCCTAGAGAAACCGTAAGAAAATAGTTTAGTCCATTTAACCAACTTATATCTATTGGAAACAATGGTTTTTGTATCTAACTCAAAATGAACTCAAATTTAATAAAATTTAATTAATTCAATTGTCCTTAGGCTTAAGCCTAGAAAAAAACATAAAAAGATATAGACACTTACAAGTAAAACATGAAATTGTTCATTAAAAGTAGAATTGGGCAAAATATATAAAAAACAAAGATAAAGGCTCTTTAAATCCTCTCTCTTTCTCTCTCTCTCTCTCTCTCCATCTCTCTCTTTGAATCTTAAATTTCTATATTTCAAAGTAAATAAAACCTTCCCCACTAATGATTTATTCCTAGTTCATGTATGTAGTGGAATGGTTTTAGACATATTTGGAGTAAATAGCTAAGTATCATTGGGTTTAGGTGCTTATTAATGAAGTTGCACCAAGAATAAGTCCATTTCAATCTTTGATTAGCAAATAGACTTTATATGGGATTTGGTTGGAATTTGAGGTAAAGTAGAGTTGTTAATTGGTGTATAATTGTAGGGGGTAGTGGTATGGGTTTACTATAAAACATAAGAAATATTATTGCAAATTGAAGTAATTAATTACCAAGGTAACCTATAGGTATATCACCACAAACTGACTTCTTTCTATGAAGAATAATCTACAAAGCCTTTTCTGCATAGGATAAAAAAAAATGTTTTTAAAAAA